TTATACTGGCAATCTAACTGTGACCTTGAAATTGACCTTTGACCTACTTTTTATGATGAACTGTACTTTGCATGTTTTCTGACCTTTACATTTCCAAAATTGGCAAGGAAATGCCCATAGTTACTATTGAACTTGAATAGAAAGTCATGTACTGTGACCTTGAAATTGACCTACTTTTTCATCATGAACTGAACTTTGCATATTTTCGTGCCCCTCACATCTTCAAAACAAGCAGAGATATGCCCAGTGTTGCCCCTAGGTTTTCTCTTTTCTCAGCATATATGCAACACTGATAACTCATTTCAAGGAAAAGCAATAGGCCTATTGTCCAGAAAATCACAGGAGTGATCAATGTTAGGAAAATACAGGCCAATTGGAAAATCCGCTTGATTGAACCATTTTTATGTTATATTTTTTTCGATTTTTTTTTCATACTTTGAGAATTCTTGTTTATTGCATAGAGCTTGTCAAGGACAAGACTGGTTGTGGTGTCCCTTTTTGGGGGGGTTTCCATTCGAATGCTCTTACTCCAGCTGGTGGTACAATATCCGGAGGCGTTATCGCCTCTCTGATCCTCTAGTTTGCATTAGTTATGAGACAGAACAGCATGGCCCCGTGGTACATGCAAAAAGAGAAAGCTAGTAATATCTCCAATATATGTGGTTGTTTAGTATATCGATGCCAACATCCTTTTCATATGCTGACCTGATATTGATTTTTGTAAATTTTTTATCTTTTGCTTTATAAAGCTGTAAGTAAGTCAGTGTTCTGAAATAAGTCTGTACTGGATAAAGCAGTAGATTCTAGTTTGATGACCTGTATAACCTATATGAATAATGGTCTGATAAACTATTATGTAAATATTTGTTTGATACTAATGGTGCTGAGAGCATTTCTCTTGCTCTAGTACATAAACTATTATTTTAATAATTTAAATTTACTTGATTTTTAGTTTGGCTGGACACATGTCACTCTCCTAATTGTGGTAACCCAGTCCCATTTCATTACAAACAACATATTTGAAGGACTTATTTGGTAAGAACTTTTTTGAGATCATAAATTATATCATTTAAGTATATATATATTTTAAAGTTTATGCATTGACTTAAAAAGTTACATTGATGTAAGAATTTGTACTAGAATTTTCTATCATCCTCTTAAAAATAAGGTGTGACTATGTTCAGCTATCATTTGCTGTCTCAAAGTTCAAGTAGAAAAATATTGAAGTATAAAGTACATTCTTGTTTACATCCTGCATACCCACAGCTTACAATAGACATTAACTGAAGACAAATGTAAACAGCAGGGTCCTCTAGGGACACTCATGATTATTTTAGCTAAGATAGTGTCCTTGTTACCTTTGATTCATACTTGACGTGTACATAAAAGGAAGGTGGGAAAATGGAGTAATGTCAACCCGTGGATCTGTCCTCATATTATCTCTAATAGGAATTTGTCTCGTAATGTAAATATGTTATCAGTGTGATTTTGATAGTATCAAGTTATGATGTTACATCAGTCAGTGTACAGCTTTTGGTTGCCAGTTTATTTAGTACACAAAATTAAATGGACTAAAGTTGAATTTTTTATTATAAAGAGAAGTGACTTGTGAATCCTTCACAAATGACCTTCAAGAAATCTAAATTATAATAGATGCTTTTCTCTTCTACAATAGTATTTTATAGTTTCACATTGGTTAGTATCACTTGTAAGTTGATTTGTCTGTCATAACTTAATGAATACTCTGTATGCTTATTCTGCAGCATTTCACTCATAATGGTAAATATTTTTGCTTCAGGTTCTTCATGTCTACATCTCTTATAATCTGTAACGACATCTGGGCGTATATCTTTGGCTTCTTTTTTGGCAAGACACCACTTATAAAACTTTCCCCCAAGAAGACTTGGGAAGGGTTCATTGGAGGAGCATTTGCCACCTTGATATATGGAATAATTGTAAGCATATTTTTGCTTACAGCTAAATATGCTACTCCTATAGCTTATGGAAATATCTTACTATGTTTATTAGTCAAATGCAGATCAAATTCAATTAAAGTACCACCCTTCTTGTTCATCAACTGTTTATCTGTTGTCTGCTGCATTTTCCATGGTGACAATCAGGTGTAATTCATGGGAGATCATGTCTGACAAGTGATTGGAATCTAGTTATAAAGTCACTTGTCACTGGCATGATTATAAACCCCATCACTTTACATCACTGATTTATCCAGGAATTTACTGGAGATGGTGGTGGCTGTAGGGGTTTATTGTTTAAAACATTTTGTCCAATTGTTTAATTCAGACTCTCACCATGAAAAAAAGAAAAGATAATGAAGTTTGTGCTCTCTCTCTCGCCAATGAATCCACTTTATTATATGATATTTAAGCAAATAGCACATGTTTTCCTGTTCCAGGGCAGCTACATCCTCATGCAGTATGATTACTTTGTATGCCCTGCAGAATACTCTCCAGAGTTAGGCAGTGTGTCCATGCAGTGTGATCCAAGACCAAGAGTATTCACACTTCAAGAGTACAACCTCCCACAAACTATCAAAAATATTTTCTTTCTTGTAAGTGGGTGGATAAGAATGAGATGAGGTGCTAATTGGATTAGTCTGAATTGAATGAGTATAAGTGATCAAATTGTAAGATGCTGAATTTATCATTGCCCTAGACGATCGGCCTGCTTCCTTTAAGGACTATTAAATAATATCACCTTTAAATTATGATAACTGTTATCAATTTCATGGCTGTTACAGCTTTATGTGTAACCTGTAATTTTATCTTTCTTTGCAGTAGAAGATATCATATTTTAATTTTTGTCCTCTTATGTTTCAGTTTGGCATTCCAAAGACCACTTACTGGACTTACCCATTCTTCTTTCACTGCATAGTCTTTTCTTTGTTTGCTTCTGTCATTGGCCCCTTTGGAGGTTTCTTTGCCAGTGGTTTCAAGAGAGCTTTTAAAATTAAGGTAATGTGGATAACAGCTCACATTGTATTAGTTGTGAAATGCTTTTGGATGTGCGGTGAAGCAAATCACTCAGATTTTTTTTAAAGCAATAACTTGAATATGATTGTTTTGAATGTGTCTCTCTTCCATGCAGAAAAAACTCAATTCATGACACGTCATAACAGTTTGTTATTTTTTTTAACTGAAGAGGAGTATATATACATTTCATTTTTTAGTTAAATTAAATTTGTTGTTGTATGGTCACTGATTTTACATTTAATTGTGAGAATTTTCTGATATATTACACCATATCAAAAAGTACTGGATCTGCATGGTTTTTAACAACCTATTTTATATCTTCAGGACTTTGGGGACACCATTCCGGGCCATGGTGGGTTAATGGACAGATTTGACTGTCAGCTCTTAATGGGGACCTTTGTTTATGTGTATATATTATGTTTTATTAGGTGAGTGATTGAGTACTTCATACTGTTTGTTTGTTATTGGATTATTTTTCTATAGTTACCATGTGTTTTTGCCCTGAATTTTTTTACTTGAATAATTTAAATGATGCATATAAATTTAGTCTGATAGGTTTGTCTTTGTTTCAATAAAATATTTTACGTTTTGCTCATATTAAAAGAGAAGTTGTAGGAGCAGTAGCAGCAGCAGCGTCAGTAGAAGTGGCAGTAGTAGCAGTAATATTATTATTTTAAGTAGTAGTTTTCAATGATGTAGTTGAAAAAAAAACAGTTACCTGTGGTTAGGCACACAAGTTGGAAACCTCTCCAGTTTATAAAAGTATTATTGATCATGTGATATATTTTTCTTTTAGAGCTCCAAATCCAAACAAACTATTACAACACGTCATGATGCTCAAACCAGAGGAGCAGCTTGATTTCTATACAAAGTTAACTGATGAACTTATGAAGAGAGGTATATTAGGGCAGTGACAAAGAGAGAGAAGAATTGGGGATCAAATGTAAAAAGTTTTTTATAAGGCAGAATCAAGGGCTAGAAGTTGAGCAATCCATCACAAAGAAAGATAAAACATGCACAAATGACAGAATGAAAAAGGATGTCAGACTGTGAATTATAAATCATTCATATTATGTCAGCACTGTATGGTAAGAAGGTGCTGTTTTAGATATAGAAATAAATGTTTATGTCCATTCAACATATAAGGACATTTTAATGAGCTCAGTGAATCATTATTTGTTGTAAGAGATGTGTTTTATTTAGAGACAAGAAGAGTTTGGAAGATGATGTGAAAACTCTGCAGTTCATTTTGGCCAAATTTAGCTTTGCCAATGAAGTGATGTTTTCACCTCAGTCTTTTTGTTTGTCACTAGCCTAGCTCAAGAAGTTATGTATGGATTTTGATTAAATTTTCAGGATACATTACAAATTGGCTAACTTAAAAATAATAAGATTTTGGTAGTAACCTGGATCTCCATCTGATTCTGGGAATTTTAAAGGGTTCTTCACTATTGTTATTTAGCTAATTAGTTGAGTAATAAATAATAAATTAATGTTGACTTTTTTTTTGGTTAACACTACTATTTATCATTCATTTTATGTGGGAGGTTTTTAGAAAATCCATGATCTAATTATCTAATAATTGTACAGGGATAGCCATTAACTGTTTCATTCCATTAATCCACCATGCAAGTGCACATTACAGCTGAATTACATAAAATAGACAGTGCTCTACACTCTACCAGGGCCACAGGAAGATTTTTTTCCACTAGATATTTACAGATATTTCTCTGGCTAATTCTGTGCGCATATCTGAACTGGAAAAAAAGTTGGCACAGAAATGACATCAACCCTGGCAGAGGGTAGCAGCGTTCGACATTCTTTGGTAATATATTGTGTTCCCAACTTAACTGCTGAACTAGGTTTGAAAGTCTGCATGTGCTGTGAGACCCTCACATTTACTATTGATTCTAGCTGTTCTGTGCAGTGTAATATTTTATATGTAAAATTAATGGGGCATTTATGTCTGTACTACCTGCATGGGTGTGTTTATTCAGGGGAAGCCTTTTATTTAATCTGAGCAGTTGGACAAAGACAGCTGTTATAATTCTTACTGTGAACCACAGGTGCATAAAGATTTGATTTTATAATTTATTATTGATAATTCATGGGGCTTATTTGTTGAAAAAGTATATGTTAAAGTCACAAAATGAAGGACAATCATATTGCCACAGGTAATGCTGATTGAATGATAAACTTTGACTACTATAGCATCATGTGATGATAGCAAAGCTCTGTATGATAGATCCAGGCCCTGTGGTTAGTCAACAAGCTTAGTGCATGGCATCACTTAAACCAGCTTGTTGGCTACATGTTCAGTTATTTTGAAGGTCATAATTGAATGCCACATTATTATAAAGTACCTGATTAATAATTTAGAATTAGTACCAGTATGTGTATATTGTGTATAGATCCATTTTATAAAATATTTAAGATACATGTTAGTTGTTAAAAATATACTTTGATTTTGATTATATTTCATGAAAATAATTTTGCCACTTGTGATGTGAATATACCTCTTAGTTGCCCAAACCTGTAAGAGGTTTTGATTTAATACAATGTGATTTATCAAAGTGTTAGTTCAGGAGGATTAATAAAACACTTTAGGCTGCATTCACAACGAGTTGATCCGCGGACTAGCTAGTCTGGATCAAAAATGACACGGGGTCCATTTTAAAGCATGCCAATATTTAACTGCTCTGCCCCTACTGGGACAGTTTGCCTAGGAGGCAGATATCCATTGTCATGTGCTCATCATATTTGATCTGTGAACTAGTTAGTCCACAGATCAACTGGTTGTGAATGGGGCCTTAAAGGCCAGAGCTGGTATTTTTTTAGCAGAAATGTATAACCTTTAATTTTAATGCACTTAGCAGAGTTGGTAAAATCATGATTTTTCATTTGTCATTCAGTCAGATGTGATGATGTAATTGTGCTGTAAAATAATCTGAGACAGATTATGTGGAGTAATATAAGAAAGGAGGGAGAATATCTATGTTGGGATAATAATAATGATTATAGGGTTGTAGAAGAATTTTCATAAGAGGGTGTAGAAATAGATAAGAGCTGGTTTAACCAAGGGAACATAGTTGAAGGTTGGTGTCTTTGGGGTTAGTCTTATATTGAATTTCATAATCCTTAAACTGTCTTTTGTTTTTTATTACTTGGTGGGTTTTTAAAAGAAAATTTGATAAAAATGTTTTAGAATTAAGATAATTATATGCTGTACAATGTGCACCTGTATATATAATCCACGTCTACGTTTGCATGAAAATTTGCTGTTTATGTGCCATTCAAGTTGAGTGAAATTCAAAACTACCCTTATCATTTTTAAACGTAGGTAAGGTAGATAGCTGCCCCCCCCCTTGATAGGAAATATTAAAATACAACGAGGTGTGTTTCTGAAAAGTCAAAAAATGTATGGTGCATTGACTTTCAAAATAGATTGAATGCCACCTTTTTAGGAATTTATTCACAAGATCAATTTTTTAAAGGTTTTAGACCCCTTCCCCTTAGAAAAAAAATGTTTTGGAGATAAATTACCCTTTTTCTTTGTTCATCTAATATTTTACTCCACAAGTACTTCCAGTGCTATAGTTGAGTCATGCAGTAGCAGAAAAGTGTTGTTTTATCTTTGTGGATTATGATTCAGATTTTATCTTTGACACATGTTTAAGTATGTTTTTCAAGATGCTCTGTCTATGGGAGCATGTAACTTCCTATTTAGAGATCTTATCAAAATGTCTTGACTGTACTGAAGTTCTGTTGTTAGGTATTCCATTCATAATCATTGTCCATCTTCTTTACAGATAATATATCTAAGTGTTTGACTACCTAAAGATGCTGCCAGACAGTTTTAAGTAGGGAATGCCAAACCACACCATTAAATTGAGTCCATTGGCAAGTCCACCTGCTATCTGTTCAGTGACATGCCTATCAGCACTTGTCATTGTAATTTAGGAAATGGATGTTTTTTCATGGAACACTAGCTTTGCTGAATGTGTCATTTATCCTGTAAATGTGGTATATCATGTCATTTCTACTGTAACAAGGGAATTAATTTTCTTTTTGGTTTTGGATGTCACGAAAAAAAGTGAAACATATAAAATATGAGTAATTTTTTTTTGTTGATAAGATTTATGCCCTCTCTCCTTCCCAAGAAAAGCATCAGTTGTCATTCAGAATTCATTTAGTAAAACTTATTCTGTTGAAGGATACTGAGCATGTTTACTCTTTGTAGACTAGCACCTAACACAACCCAAGTGCTTTGTTCCTGTGTGTGCCCTGCTGTTCAGTGCTGGTACTGTAGGTAGAAATATGAGATGAGGTGTACACTGTGCATCAACAGTCAAGCCAACCTGGTTGAATCAATACAATATTACTATTGCATAGATTTGCTATATTTCCATTTGGATCAACACAGATTTTTGATAATACACATTTGGTCATATTTTAAAAGTCGATGAGAATGTTCCACTGTTTTTAAAGGGATAACAACTGTTTGCATGATATCCAAATTTCATAATAAATACATTGTAAACAACTCCTTGAAATATAATAGATTCTATTTTACCACCAAAATGGTGCTTAATACAATTATTCTGGAATTTGTGCTTACCATCACATCACGTGACCTCCATAGATGGCTATACTCTGTACTAATCTCTTAAAAAAATATTACAAAAAAAACTCTTTAGAAAAAAAACGGGGACTAACTTTGAATGTTGGAATGGATCCATTAACCATTGGTAAGTATGGGAAAGTTGTACTTTACCCCAGGAAAATCCATTTTGGGACAAAATGAACAGTTGTTATCCCTTTAAGGATTAATTGCATTGAACCAAAATGCAATAAAAAGGCAGTGTTAAGAAACAAAATATGTTGAATATGAAGATACTTTGATGATTAGACTGACGTTTTCTGTATTTGAATTCAAACCAAAGGGATTTACATTTGTGTGATTTGACTGGTGTCATCATCTCTCCAACTGTAGTATGTGATCTATCTCATCTTGATATTTTTGATGATGTGGACCTAACAAGGGTGGCCTAGTTTGATATGTTTGTAACCGTACATCATTTAGATATACCAACTGTTTGCTTTATTTGATCTAATAATGAAGATTCATCTTATATCCAGCAAATAGAATGCAAAATTGAAAATATGCCTAATAGTTGTCAAGGTATTTGTGATAAAACCATGAAAAATTGTTTGGTTGTATAGGATAAATGAAGACAGTGTTTGGCATCTGTATTTCCAATTTTTTCTGGTAGATCAGATTTACACTTCAGCATCAGAATTGCATAATGTATGTATGTAAACAGTAGTTAGCAATATGAACCATGAAAATGATTAGGTATGTGTTATTGTCTAGCAGCCAGCAGTGCAGAAACCTGTAATGTGCTGGGTAAATTTGTTAGTGCAACCATATGCATGGAACAGATGAGTTCTAGGATAATGAGTACTTTATGTGTAAGTCTTCCCACTGTCACTGCAGCAGGAAATTAATCAGTTTTCTAGTTGAAACCATCAGTCACGGAGTCATGGCATGTTTTCCTTTGATGGATATTTGAAATAAAAGCGAGAAAAAAAGAAAAACAACAATTTTGGGAGAACAGGAAATTCTAGATGCTGAAAGACCAGGAAGATGGGCTCATTATATAATTCTTTTCAATTTATTTTCACCACAGAGATAATTATGTAGAAGTAGTTAATAAAAGGGATACTACTATTTATGAAAATCATGTACCAACACGTGCATAAGTATGGGTATATATACAATAGTTGTTTAATGACAAAATACCTGTCAACATTGAAAGCATTGTGTGCTTTACACAGTATATATACATTACATGTTTACTTTTAAATGCTTGCAAATCTTTAATTCTCTAAACCTGTATGTTTCCTTGTTTTACTCCAAAATATCTTTTGGCTAGTATGCTAAAATATTATAATAAGCAGATGTGTTTTTTATTAATGATGCATTAGCTTATGTTTGGTACTCGCTCTTCTGACAGATTGAAATTGCTCGCAGTAAATTAGTCTGTGTATTTTAGTTCTTCCCTTACCAGTATGATAAAAAAACACCCCATTATAAAAGCCACCAGGAGATGAAAGGGTATTTTACATTATATTTCATTTGATCTCAATCTACCACTCTACAACTAGGACACAATTAGTCATGCCTGCAAATGGATCTAAGGCAATATAGGACTGTATTTGTCTGTTTCAATGCATTGACAGTGACTTGCTTCCAGTTTGGCTAATTCTTGTTTTGGGCTTTCGGTATTGATGACAGAGCCCGTGGAAAGTCTGTATGTCCATTCTAATATGAATCCAAGCAAATTACTTTAAGACAAAAACCAACATTGCTTGTAAGTCTTGTACATTATGCATCTCTACTTATTTTGCTGTATTACTGCATACATGTAACTGTTGGAAGATTCACCATCAAACTATCAGTGTCTGTGGTGAACCAAATAGGAGCAGCATCCCTGTATGTAATGTTATATTGTATTGATTTAACATTGCAGACAGTTGGGAAAAGTAGAATGTGCCAGAAGGCACTTTTATGATACACAGGCCTTACAGTTCTTCTTTGCAGTTCTTTTCTGCAGTACGGGTCTGTCAGCGTGTTAGTCAATCATCTTAACAATGGGGAATGGAGGTCTTAATAAGATCTCAACACATGTCTACATCAAGGAAGTTATAAATTCTGTAAACATGGTATCAGACTTGTAGTTTTTGTGTGGGTTAACAACTAAGACTCCGTTCACAAGAAAAGTCTATTTTCTAAAAATCTATTTTCTATTTGCGGTATCTTGTGATCACGGTCTGTGCCCTGAATACCCCGCGGCATAATTACTGGCAGCGTAAGCCAGTTACTTTCAAAGCTGTAATTAATTCTTGGCTGCGCTCGGAGTGATCACAAGATACTGCGAATAGAAAATAGATTTTTAGAAAATAGATTTTTCATGTGAACGGAGTCTAAGTCTGTTGCATGGCATATAAATATCTCTGTTTTGTATGTGTAGATTAGTGATCAGGAGTTCATGCTCTTATTAAGTAATTGTGATGGTTTTCAGCTCCTGGTTCTGAATATTTTATGTCATTTTCCATTTATATTAATAGAATAATTTATTAATGTATTTTATAGTTGGTTGTTCCATACTTAACTGTGTATGTAATAAAATATTCATTGAGAGGTAGAGTTTGGTTTTGTCAGTATAGCTTATTTAAAACATATGAAAGGACTTCAATGTAACATCCGCAGTCTTTTTTAATTATGCCTCTGATATAATTATTTTTAGCGCGATTATGATGTACAAACTGGGTTTTTTTGGTATCTTTTTTTCAAAAAAAGTATTCGCATGTCTCAAAGACTTGCATATATCCTTTTTGACTACCCTTTCTTTACCTTTACACATGAAATGATGAGAAAATATGCTAAATTTGCTTGGCTACAACTTAGTTTTCAAAAAGATACATTTGAATATGTTTTCAATTCGAAACCACTGGTCAATAGTCAGCCGGAACTGCAGCAAAATCATTGTTTAAAGGGGTTGCCAAAAGCTGATTAAAGCTTTGTAGTGTAAAATACCAAAATGACTAGCTTTGAACAATAGGGCCAAATCAATAGACTAAGTGCTGATATGAAAGTGTCTAATTCATTCGAGTTTGAATGAGATTTTTTTTTTTTGGGGGGGGGGTGGGGATCTTCACGACCTCAGTGGTTTACAACCATTTTATGACTTGTTATATAGCATTTAAACCTCATTCTCCTTTGGGAAATTCAGTAAATTGCGGGAACTATCCCACAAGGGACCAGGTTTTTAGTATCCCCAGCGTGAAAATCCGATAAACTCTGCTGGGTTGAGTACTTCCTTTTAGCAACGACTTTTTCTTTTCTTGAAGTCGTCGCCTGGATATATATTTTCTATCCCGGCTGTATTCCAATTATTACTGACCGTTTCCGCGTTGCCTACATTTCCTATAATGTTCTACACTATTATTGATCCAGCCAAAGCTTTGGAAATCCAGCAGCTAAATTGAAGTCACCAGGGTTATGCTTGCAGAGCAATTGGCTCCTTGACAATGTGGGTGAAAACTTATTAATCAAAGTTGATATCAAGAACGTATCGAAATAATGCCAGGACTGAACTGCCGCCAAAGCTGTAGTTGGGAGGGAGTTAACATTGGATGTTTAGCTAATTTCGATTCATTGCACAAATCCGAAATGACAATTTCCACGATTGCAATTACTCTTACTTCAATACCAATAAATTTCATAACAGAATGAAAACGTGAATGATGCCGTTACTCGTTCAATTCCATCTGCGATTAATGTATTCATCAGTCAAATGCAGACATGGTAAAAGTGCTCTTGGGAATGTCGTACATTTGTATCGATAAATGCTGTTAAAATATATCTAAACAACTTTGCCGCTTTCAGATTATGTATACACGGCGATAAACGCCTTTCAAATCTGTTGGGTACTCGGTCATTAAAGGAATACTTGGACTGACATGTTGATTTCTCCGGTACAACGTTCCCTGCATAGCAGAACCCAGGGGCGAATCTAGGATTAGTTGAAGGGGGGGGGGATGGGTCCGGAACGACAGGCCTCGGAGGCTGGGGCCTGCTCAAGGGACCCGATAATATTTGGTGTTTTGGAGAGCAAACAGTGCCCTTTGGTACGGTTTAGAACTATGATTTAGCTAGTCAAAATTCTAATTTCAAGAGGGTAATATTGGTGTGATATATTTTACGGAAACTGAAGAGGGGGTCAGGACCCCCCCCCCCCCCTGACCCCCCCTCTAAATCCGCCACTAAGAACCTATTAGAATCACCGAGGGACAGTAAATTGAACATTTTAGTGACTACATTTTAAGCAAGTCTGCTTTGGAACATTCTAAGACAATGTAGACATAACAAGAAGTTGTAAAATGAGATAAAAGTTAAAACTTTTAAGCTTAAAAGACGTTTCTAGTATGTAGTAGTAATCCATTTTGAGGCGATAAATTCAATAAATATCCTCTAACTTAAAGTATTTTGCTTATTTTAGAATTTAATTCTCCCACTATTTCCAACGAAGAAACTTCGTTTAAATAATCTTTTCAGGTCTAGCGATTGGATAGGAACAATTATTACTTGTTAATCTACCTGTACAACTTGTTAAAATATTGTTGGAAGACCATTGTAATAAGGAAAATGAAATAAGAAACTTGAGGGTGGCATTTGACATTCCGTGTTATCAAAATCTTTTTATTGTGGAACATATACGTCAAACAGAAAAGTGCTTCAAACAGTGCAACCTTAATAAATGCTATACAGTTACATTATTTCCTGAAAAATGATATTTGAAAGAATATTTTCTGCTTACCTTCTAAGCTTTACGGACTGAAGGAAAAATAAGTAGGCCAAATTTACGAAGGTACTGTTTTAGAACCTTTTTTGCTGCCCGAGAGATATACTTTGGTTTGTTTTGTGGCATGTGATATTACTTGCGTCTTATAAGAAACTACTATTAATAGTTTAAGCCTATAAACGTTGCAGGGCATTTCATCTCCTTTCTTATGCATTTTTATGCGAGGCTCTTCAATATTGTCCTTTTAATAGAGCAACGTAAACTTTGCTAATGGCAATTTACTTGCTAGGATAAATTGTGTGCAATTTATACCAATACCCTGCAAACCAATTAAACGCCACCTGTACTTTATCCAGGTGAATAGTCCTGAAATACAAAACGTAAAGAGTAGCCTTATCCACCTCCTGCACCATTTTTAGACCCGGATTTCCCAATATTTGAAATGATACAATGAGATTTGGTTTTCAGAACCATTCATAATTGATCCACATGGAGTCCAGACATGCCTACGGCCTATCATCGCAGACCACGAAATTCCATGAAATGCGGGTCATGTGATCACCAAGTTTAGGATTTCCATCACGTCCCAATGACAGGAATTCTAATAAGCGTTCATGTTCTGCAAACTACTGGTTGTCACTAATTCATCTGTATCCAAAGCAGCATTATCACGTATGCTATTTATGCCACGTGTCTCCCCGCGGCTAGCAGATTTGTTTGAAAAAAAAAATACAGTGCGCAACACATGAACAAAGTGACAGCGACGCAGGCAGCATTGTAGTCACAGACAAAAGGAAGGTGGAATAGTCTTCAGATCAGTCCACAGACAGCGCTGCGAACCCTTTAAACCTGCAGCATGGGGAACGTAGCCCAGAGCTTACATAATATAGTGCCTCACACGCATCACCACGGACTATCAGAGTTTCAGAAGAGGAAGTTATTATATGAGTTTCACACTTTTTACGGTAGGATTTGCAATATGGGAGATGAGTTTCCCTTTGTATGTGTACACTGAGAGGGTGGGTAGCTTGCAGTATAAGCAACATATGTTTGCTGATACTTAACTGTGTATCTCTTTTCAAAACTAAAACATAATATATAGTGTCTTAAACTTATATACTGTTATTGAGTGAGGATAAATGTTTTTGAATTGCTATCTCTGCCTTTAAAAACAAAGTCTTGACCACTGAACTCGGTCTTTACACAGATGGACTTATGCAATAGGCCTGGTGATGATTCGATAACAACACGGGGTTCCATACAGTGCTACATCACTCCCATCACTCTGCATTCGGATTCTCATTTGAGATGGAAGTAAAGTGGGTTAAAAAAGAAGGGTTCACAATAGACCATCATAGAAATAATTAGAAATAAGAGTGCAGAATGAGCTTGATTCACTCCCATCTATCTAGGGGTAGGCCTATATTATCTTTATCTTGCAACCCAGCCTAGCAGTCACGCAGTGTGGCGCACGGCTGCACACATATACACACATACTAGCATATAACACATCCATGTAGGCCCTACATATATTTATCCAGCCATGTAAGGTATGCACAGCTATGCCTAAATTGTTTAATCTGACCTTGTTTAATGTCACATGTGAAAGATTATATTAGCATATAAAATACCATTTGTTTTAGACGTCAGTGCTGTTGAGATTCGGGCTCTTAAGCGCTGACGATGTCTCTAGCCTGTATAATGTGGTATTTTTCAGTAACTGCATTTGTCTTCTGTGGTACTAACAATGTCCCAAACTCCACTCATTTAAAAGTACTCTTTTCATTTTTGCCCAGCAAGTTTAACTATAAATTCGGTTTACATTACCGTGTTTTTCCCATCGCAACAGACATGATAAGCAATCTACCGAATTTGGAGTGAAGTTTATCTACCTGGATATTAAATAGTGTGTACTTATTAAGATGTCATAGTTATACAGAAATTCATAAAGTTGATTTTATGATTAGTGGTATCTGCGACAGTTTCGCTGACAATTTGTGACAACAACTTTCCCCACAATAAAAAATGTGTTTTCGATCGCCTCTTCACCTACACCCAGAAATTTCTAATCCTCGTTTTATACAGGTAGTCCATTTAGTTATATTTTAATTTAATCATTATGATTATTATTTGAAGGGGGTCATTCAAAAATAGGGTCAGGTAGGGACATTTGAAGAAGAGCAAAAATTTCGTAAATATTTACTTGTGCTATCCACTGAGTCATGCTATCCTTAAATCTCTTTTGTGCGCACCGTTCCATTTTGCGGAAACAAACTCAAATTGTTGCTGTCTTGTGTGTGATTGATATACCAGGCTAGCAACGAACCAGTATAAATAAAAGCAGAAAGGGAAATGATACGGATGGCTGTCATTGTTGATGATACGTTTGTTTACCTGAGAATTCGGGGCACTAGGCCTTACAGAATGTAGTGTAGGAAAAGGATAATACTGACCCTTCCTACTCCATCATTTTACTGCTACGGTTGCTGAACCATTTATTCGAAATGTCCCACTGTGAAGTACTATGTCGTGTTTGCCATCCATATATTAATTACGTTGCATTTTCCGACTAGGTACATTTTTGTTCGATGCAAGACTCATTAAGGAACGCACATGATAATAGAAATAAAATTATAACGTATGTATGGACGCATTTGATCAATTTAAACACAGACACCACTTCTTTTCTTACCAAAGACATTGTACGCCTTCTACTTGTAGAAAAAGGCATCCCCTCTGCAGGGATTTCTAGGAAATAGAACGAAATATGATTAACAATTAAATGAAGTTGACGATCAAAATACATTGCAATCTGTCTTATCTGTAAGGAAGAGATTTGTTTCTTGCGAACTCAAGTAGATCTACATTTATCTTAACGACTGTCACGTTTCGCCTGAAAACAACATGAAACCGACCAATTTCATGTTACATTGTGCAAATTCTTAAATGAACATTTTTCTTCTCTCCTTTCTTTCTTTTTTTATCAATTCGCTGTAAATCACAATTGAAAATAATGTTGTTAGTCGGTGGGTCAATATGACAAATCTGAAATGCCCTGAGCATTACAAGGAGGAAATACCAATTATTTATTAAAGTACCATACGCTGTGACCGTCACTTTAAGTGAGTATATGAAGATATCAATTTACGCTGCACTCAGTGCTGTCGATTTTCATACACAACCTGGAGTGCAACGCGGTAAATGTCCTGAATTTCATAGCAGGAAGTGCTTTTTTTAGTATTGTGAATAAAGCTAACCACCTGCATTGCAACTGTTCAATACAACATATTTACTAGGCTTGAAACAATGAACGATAATCTTTTAAGCAAGGAGAAAAAGACGATCTATTTGCCAAACAGTAAGTGGCTAGTGTGGTAAAAGCTGTGAGGTCTTGCATTTCTGTCATAAATTCACATCATCGTCAAAACTATAAGATTGGCGGCCTTGAAACGTCAGATTGCGGGAGCTCACCAATGGAGCACCTGCCAATATCCCACGTGTGTCTCGGAACATGAGGATTTTTATTAAAATAAATGGCATATTCAAAGTCGATTCACACTGACTCTGCGACTGGAATATTGTTATTTGAACTAATACCATCCGTACTGAATCCGATTGCCCGTTCCCGATCTTCCGTCGATCCGGCGTTGTCGGTTATTATAACTCATTCCAATCCAATTTTAATTGAAACTACCGGGAATTAACTACTTATTAGCTTAGATGACAGAAGGCAGAAATAGGAAAGTACAAGTATGGGTTATTGTGTTACTGATTGGATTCCGTTACTGTCCAAAGAACACCCTTTATATCGTACATTAACTCCTACGGGTCCCAGGTTCGTGTTTTCAGAAAATATGATACTGCCAGCCAAGACGTAGCAGGTAATAAATCACGATGTTCCAGCGGAGACCTCTACTTTGGCTAGAAATCTGAATCAATAATAGGATTACAAAACAATTCTCTCTGGGTTATGAAACTTCAGTAACCGTGCCATAGAGTCGTTTTTTCACCTGCAAGAAGAGGAAAACTAACAGATTTTAATGATAAAAAAATACATGCAGCTACAAAGCGTGCACGGAAAAAGTAACTAAAGTCACCATGCCAAGGGCAATTTTACGTATGACAGAATTAATGCACAAGATTTCACACAAATCACTTTTACGTTAGAACTTAGTAGTTTTATTGTATTACACTCCAAAAGTTAGGAAATAATGGACATTCCCGGCACACATAGATGGTTTAAATGAGCATACCTTAGCGTTGTAAGTTGTAGTGGTATATGGAAAATAGTTATCATTACATTATATCGTCAGTCATTGACGCTGAATTTGATTGCATTAAAACGTCATCAATAAAATAGGCGTAGATCTATTTGATACCATTTTTTTGTATCAGACGCAGTTATTTCCTCTTAATTGATGGTTTTAAGATGGTGTCTGTGGAGAGCCTGCATAGACATTTGCCTTTACAACATAAATTGTACAGTGATTTAATATTTTTCAGATATAAGTAGATTTTATTTGTCAAGAACGAAAAGGATACAGTTTTTGGCTTCGTAGCCACCGAGAAAAATTAGTGGCTGAATAATACAATGAAGAGCCTTATCTAATTTAGAACTGTATCCGAGCAAGGAGGTGTATCATTCACTTTCTTGGTCCGATAGTATATCAAGAGAGTTGCGTGAATGGGTGTCATCCGAGATCGTGACGTCATTCGGGACAAGAAAAAGTACGAGAATCAAGCACATGAAGTGATGTTAAAGATGCATATGAAGTCAAATTTTGCCACCAAAACCAACCAAATACCAGCATATAGGTTCAAATAGTATAACTACCAAAAGACATTGTTTAACATTACCCGAAAAATGATATTTGAATGGATTTTGCTGCTAGCTTTCTATGCTGTATATATACATGGGGCAGAAAAGTAGGTTAAATTTCTGACCAAAATTTTTAAGAAAGGAGCAGTCTAAAGCTCTTTTATGGGTGATCGAGTGATTTATGCAGTTTATCCCTTGGCAAGTCGACTTAATTTGAGTCGTATAAGAAACTACTAGAAGTGTTTTATATGTGTTACTGGGAATCCACGCTCCACCGATGCTCGGTTCATATGTAACTTTAACTTTTAGGCAGTAAGAGCGAAACTTGATGCGCCGGGAATAGAAAGCAACACAAAAGTGACATGCAATTGACAAAGTGGCATGCAAAACATGGTGAATTCGATAGAACTTACCAAAAAAAATTACCGTGGATGAATTCTGCCAGATTCTACCACAGTTCACTCGCTAGCCTGCCATTATTTCTTACATCACTCTTCTCCAAATCCCGGGAAATATCGCTTCATTTTGCGCTTATTTGCGCTATTTCGGACTGGCTCACATGATGCCCAATCAAATTTATTACCAGTCGACATGCCAATAACGCCTTTACCATTGCGAACTTGACAAATTGGAGAACATATCAAATAACAATGTCACTTTATTTTAGATGTCAACAAAGACGGCTGCTTAGAATGGAGGGATTTCGAACAAGCCAGGGAGGTGAGAGATTACACGGCGGAATATTCCTTTGGCACTTCGGGCACTTAAGTACACGATCCCTGATCTTGTTAAAGCATCCAGCTGTTTTGTGATCACATCAACGTACGGGTGAAGAAACTGGTCCAGTCCCACTCCACACCGACAATGCCCCTGCGCCTACACACTCAGTTCTCTAGTTGTTGATAATTGAAATCTCCATTTAATATTGGTTAGGAAATCCTGAGGATGATATGCTCTGGAATAAAACCCAGACACTGACACCAAACAATATCACCATTTTGAATGAATATATACTTAACTTTTTCTTTGGAGAAAGTCTATTTAATTTATTTGAATGATCGTTGTGGTTAACTATTCTTTCCATGCAGAAAATTAATGGAAGGAGGCTATCTATCATCGATAAAAGCGTTTTCTATGTTAGAGTCCCTCCGCGCAAAATTTAATTTCCTGATATTGTCAGATGGTCTAGTTTTTGTCAATTTCTCAACAGTCCAGGTAACTGGGTGCTAAAACCCGCTCTGCTTTCAGCGGCGACAGAAAATCAATACAAAATAATGGAGTTTACCACTGGTAAGGTATATGAAATGGATAAAATGGTCATGGTAATGTACAGAGAATGACTGTAGCTATGGCTATATATGTAGTTCACTGTGATAAATATGCTGCTGGAACGGCAACAAGGTTCAAAGATCTATTATAGCCGTAGTATATACCAAGATAATTGGAAACCAACAGATATGATAAACGTGTTCTCGATTTTTTTCATTCTTTTTTAATTTTGTTAAGTTGCACTCGTATTAATTATAAGCTGCATGATCGAAAGTAGCAAATTGGCTTTGAAACAAATTGAACCAGGTTGAAATATGGTATATTTACCTTAGATAAATATCTTGGAATCATTTATGACACATTCTGAACTGATTCCCAGATTTTTATTCTGGTTTAAAGCTAAAACTTACTAGAATAATAAACTGTAGTATCATTCATATCGTATGTTATTTCTTCTTTATTCTAGAAAATTTGCAAAATGAGTGGCTGGGAGCCTGGGTCGGAGAAATTTGACAAAACAAAGAACTTGTTCGTGGACATATGGCGTAAACTGCAGGACTGCGCAGACGAGAATTGTGATAACAAGATATCGGCAGATGAGTGGGTGAGAAACAAAGTTTTTCTCGGAGTGTTGACCAGAAATGTTTATGGCACTGCAGATGTATGTTATGACATGTGTGAGAAATCGTGTTTAAAAGTCGTGATCAAGTTATCGAAGGTGTGGTGATCCCTGCCATGCACTATACGAGGTTTGTAAGTGAAAAATAAGGGAAATTGTCGGAGCATTAGTATGATGTGATCACAAACACAAAATTAAATGCCAAAACCAACAGCCTGCCAGATTATTCAGAACAGGAAATCGATCTGATCTTCTATATGATTTGGTGCTTACCAGATGTTTTCTGATGGCAGTAATCAGATGCCTGTTTAAACGTGTAATGCACTTCACAAGCTGCTGAAATAATGAGATTTTATGCCGTATTGTACTTTGTTTCTACTTTTAAGTCTGTTCATTTACCACTAAATGTTTATAGCTGTCATTATATTTTAACGCAACTCTGTATCTTGATTAAAGCGACGAAATAAATGCAAGAACAGAGACATAAAATATGAGACTCGCAGATCAATTCATGAGCACGGACAAAATGAAAGTAACAATTTGATTGCAATATATTATAACACCCTCCTCTTAATGCTAGTACTAATGCCAGTTTACGTCAAATAGGTCAAAATGTGGGCTTCGTACATCAAACATCATTCGGATCCAGGGGAGGTGGCCAAAGTGCCAGACTGGGTAGAAGAGTACGTGGAATACAAGTTCAACTTATTTGACAGAACAGGTAATAAAGCCGCAGGGCAGTTTATGAAAAATCAGTGGGTCATTTTACACCTATAATTTCCGTTTCACCACCGATCGCTTGAGACCTTAAATGAGCTGTTCTTAAAATTCATAATCGATTCAGTTTCTCCCATTTCATCTCCCTCGTATTAATCAATCTCCGTGCGGCGCAGATAATATAATATAATGTAAGCTATTGTTAATGTAGAATATCAGGAAGGGGGCCAAAATTTTCTGAATGATCTCCCTAGTGCTTTCGATTGTGTAAATTGCAAATGCCATGGCGTCAAGTCCAAGCAAATGCTTGGCGTCGTAGAGGGTGCGAGTGCATATTGTTCAGCCCTCACTGGAAATAAAGTGTAATTTGACACATTCTTAAGTTATTTATTATTTTTTTTATTCATTTATGTCCACAGCATAAATCTCGCCCTTTTGCGATCCCAAAAAGCCGTACACGTAGTTCATCCTCGGAAATGCGGGGTATCCCCTTCCTGGAAAAAGAAAATAAAAAGACCAATTTGATATATTACATTAAAGTATGAGTATGCTCTAATGCAGTGACTTTCCCATTCAAATCAAACGCTTGGTCAGCGTCATGCTTCTGAATTTTTTTTAACATAAAAAGTACTGTTTTGGAAGCTTTAAGTATAATATAAGCTAAAGCATGCCTTCCCAAACACCAGAGAGAACCTTTTTCATTATTTCTTTTAAGTCACTCTTATCATTAGGCCTATATTATCTAATTATTTTTAATTATGTGTGTGCATGTGGTGGATTTATCTTTGTGGAACAGCCTATCGAATGTAGGTAGTTTTTTATATCATAACTCATATAATCTCCACCGTAACCTTCAAACGAAATGTCGCATGCGTGACTCTGTAGGGCATTTTGTTATTTAACAAAACGCATGAAGAAAAGTCAGATGCTTTTTCACATAAAATGACAATATGTTTAGATTTCTCAGTAAAGATGTGGCATTAAATACCAGTTGGACTAATACCACCGCCCTCTTATGAACTCTGTCAAGAACGATTATAATACAAGTAATAATCCACTACTGTAACTTACTCATATTGTGCAACAGGATCTCTTATAGACGGCCTGTGATCGTACGGCGGCTGAGTTAAGCTTTTTAAAATCGTAATTGTGTTGCCTCAGAGTGTCTGGATCAATAGCTAGATGTCTACCCACTGAAATTGTTCGTATATTGCCTTCCAACGATAACTTTCACGAACAATTAGATGAATAACACCGCCAGTATTGGTTTGATAAAAAACATTTTGTAAATTGATGAATTAGTCGTGCAGATAAATCGCCTGGGACTCGTTGAAGACTAAAACTGATTACTGAAAGTAGCCTTATTTCGGTTTGCTCTCTGCTTTACGCCCAAGAACAGAAATAAAGGTGTGATTTTGTGTAGACAAAAAGTTTGTAAATTGCCTATAGTCAACTTGTCTTTTGTTCTTTTACAGCGGATGGTATCATAGATATAGAGGAATTTGAGTACGTACTTGGATATTTTGGCATATCTCCGCCAGCTGCAAAATCAGCGTTCATCATAATATCTCAGGTAAGAGTAGTTCTCTCTTTCAATGGTGGTAGCATCAAACATACTTATGACACAGAACAATTTATGTATCACGAAAATATAAAGTTTCAGTCTCATGAAAATGTCAAGTGACATGGATTCTTCTCTCTCTCTCTCTCTCTCTCTCTCTCTCTCTCTCCTAACACACACACGCACACACACACACACACACACACACACACTCGTAAAAATGAAACCAATACAATGGCAGTGCATTTTATATTGCAGAACATGGAAAGGAGAATCGATCTCCCTTATTACAAACAGTTGGTTGCAGAATACTACCGCTCAGACGACCCTGGCGCTTTGGGCACCTTTATTAATGGAAAACTAGACTTTTGCGACGGTTTGGAAGATGCCCAAATTCGTAATGATAAAAACCACCGTGATAACCAACAACAACATAGCCATTCCCAACAGCAACAGCAAAAGCAAAAAAATCAAGAACAAAAACATGCAGCTACGCCAACAAGTAACGGATAGAGCCCGGTGATACCCTGTGCTTCAGATAGTCTTGGCAGTTTGACGGGGAACTTCACTGTTTTGCACAGGCGGTCACATTGCGGAAGTTTTGAAATCAATAACTGCGGTCCGCAGTGAGTTTTGACGCTAATGGCACCACCAAACTTAAAACGGACCAGCAACAGACTTCTTATCTTGATGTAAATACTTTTAACAATGCCTTAAATTGTATATAAGCAGGAAGAATGTCTCAAAAAGCTAGAGTTAAAGATTTCAATATTAAAATATCGGTGTGAAGGGTTAGCGATAGTATCTAGTATTGTAGTGGATTATGGGATAGTCTGTCCTTAAGTTTGAAGATGTGTACTGTTTGTTTGTTTGGTGATATATTATTCAAAGATATTTTATTTCAGTTAAATGTAAACCTGATCTTTCATTATTATTCAGTCAAGTGGAATTAACTTTTATGTTGTGAATATGAATGTGTATTTATCAATTAAATGAATAAGGTAATCTACAATTTCTTTGATTGAAGTAATTCCGCAGCGCTATATATAGTGAAGTGATTTAATGGGAAGTGCCTATTTCAAAAAACAGGAGCCTATACAAGTCTCCTGCTCTTTGTTACAGAGTTTCCATTACTTTTTTCCCTAAAACACTGGAACTCTTGTTTGATTACTTATTTTAAAGATCAATATTAAACTGCATTTGTTGATTTCAATATACTCTATAAAATAATTATACTAGTACACTCTTGATTATTGTCCGATTTACTGTTCAAATTTCTGAAACACATTGAAAGATAACATTTGAGTACCTAGAATGTCCTTTTTTAATACTTATACGCACTTCGTACATCACTTTGATCCAAGCACTGTATGCATAAGTATGAATGGTAATTTCCATAATTTCAGTGATGCTCAAAGCAATAGATCTGATCCATATGCATTTTACCCTCTCGTTTTACTAATGACAACATAGACTTCCATTTCAAGGCTATTGGTTGACGGAAATAAAAGTAATAATTCTCCCTTTAGTTGTCGGGTGTTCTATTCTTCATTTTGATTATATTTCCATGCAGGGTTCAGAATTTAGGTAATTTGACTACATGTACTGGTATATCCATATTCAGCATAAAATAGATTCCGTGCTCGAAGTCCATGCGGCAAAGAAATCCTAATCAGGGGCATCTAATTATGTAAATGATATAAATAAGCCGTCGGATCTCTTGGACATGTCTACTGCTAGCGTGTAGAACACAATAGCGTCAGTATGTTTCTGTTTTTACCCAAAAATTTTTTTTCAACAAATATAGCCTATTCTACCCTTATCAAATGAGACTGCGTTCTCGAGGCAGGGTATAACTGGTGTATTCAGAGAAGACAACTGAAGTGGTCCACTGAACACAAAGGTCACATAGTGTATCTTGCTCAATGCTGTTAAACTTTAGTGGACTTCACAGTGCACTTGGATTTGTACGGTAACTTTGTCGAAATGAACTGGGAAGTGACAAACAATACAAACCTTAAAACAGAACAAAATAGATAAATGAACCAAACAACGAAGCTACTAATTACGATTATTTACGAGTATGCTGCACATTTTTACTGAAATTATCTTTGTTATCATGCATCATTTGATTGTCTAAATTAGGTCATATTAAAATTAAAATGGTCCAATGACCGAGACATACTGATTACCCCCCCCCCAAAAAAAAAAAAAAATAATAAAAATAAACAAATTAACAGATTATGTAGTCCAACATATCTGATGAAAGCAAACCTCTCTGAAGTGGAAAAAAAGTAGACCTAAGAATATATAAGTACCTTCCGGGAGTAAATTGATAATAGAAACCTTGCAACTACAGTAATAAATGGGTATGCTGCACGTTTACACTTTAGATGACCTTTGTTGTCACGTATATCTTACTATTGTCTATATAAGGCCGTAAATAATAGCCGAATGGCGGGGAAACAGGGTTGGACGAACTGTCCTTTTTAATAGCTAGAAAAATATCTCCTTTTTTTTCAGAAATTATTATTATTTGATTAACTAAAACGATATTCCTCTCTTTCTAGCCATATTATTATGGGATTTTTGGCCGCCAAATCGAAATTTCCTTGAAAAATAGCGGGTAATTTTCTCCAACTCACGAATCATTGCTTAATCCATCCTGGCACTTGGACTCGATGTTTTATACCATTTAAACTTTAACATTTCATTTCTAATTGTTTCCCGTAACGTTTAGACCGCCACGTCCTCCTGTACATTTTTGAAGGAAATATCCACACCACATAGGCCTTCTTATATTGGAGGGGTTGAATCATTGTTGAAGCCAGTATCGGGAAAGATAAGTATGGCATGTACACACAAAAATATGACTTTGGGACAGCTTTGAAAGCAGTAAGCATCGCTTAAATGCCTTTTTACTGGCTACTTTGATACAACACTGCAGTCGAACAGTGATGAGAAAGAAATGTGTTAGGTGAGCTAGTCGGTTGGTGGATGAGGTCACACCCGTCCTCAACAAAAACAATTCCCGGGACAAAAGACAATACAATTTTGCATACTAACTTGCATTAGTTTAGTACAAGTATTTATGTTTATCTGTGAAATATACTAAAATAAATCATCAAGTAAATAAATGTAACGAATTGGTTGACCTTTTTTCACTTCTGAGTGTAACTCTGACAAAGTTAAATCAAGTAATATGACTAAAAGTTGTCGGACAGGATCATCTTGATATACATAAAATGATGACGTATATTGCAACGAAGGGGTTATGTTCTGTTTGTTTGAGCGGTAAGTTGAATTCCTTTTAATATTATGCAAAATAATTTATTTGCTTCGGTGCATGTTGTGCTCTTGAGTCCACGGTTCATTCATTTATATTCGTACCAAATCCCAGGTTCGTGTCTGCGTAAATACTCTTCAAATGTGCTAGATGGTTTTGAGGTGCCAAGATGCGATTGCTCCGACATTTGCAGGGTTAACGTCCACACAAAGCATTAAACACACATGAATCGAGGCTTTAACTGATTTAACACTATTAGTGTGTCATATTGTTGAAAAGAAGTGTCATCGTTGCTCAAAAATGGTGTCCATGTTCGTACCTGTATGTTGTATACCATAATATCAGATGATCAATCATTTTAGTAATACTAACGTTAATATTAGCATCACTTGCCTGTGAGATGATACTGGTAAGTGTAGTATGGAAATGGGTATATTTAATGACTGGCTGTTGACACAGTATGGACTGAATGACAAATTAACGGTATATTTACATCATCAGATGCAACATCCTTGGATCTACCTCTTGTGGATCAAGCACTTACAGCACAATGTCTATTTGATTTACATTTCTGCTCAGATTTTTTTTGAAGGGGGGGGGGGGGGGAGGGCAGAAAACAAAACTGTTTAAAGAAGTTTCATTATTTTCTGCACCGTTATAGATATGTGGTCTTCTTACTCTTATTGGCTGTTTGTCTAGTAATGGCATGCAATTTAACCTCGGATTTCTACCTGTTATTTCATACAGAAAAAGAAAAACTCATTAAATTTCTCAAGAAAATATGAAGGATTGTAAAGTTTTTTTTAAGTGAATATGTTATTTATTGCAGACAGATCATAACCATCTCTACACTCTCTTTTATAGGAATTCTTTTGGATAAGATAAGGATGCTAGCTAGTGATGTTATTGAAAAGGTGGGTTAACATCATGTAGAAGTAGTTCAAAAATTGTACTATTATTTTTGTAATTTTATTCTTCAATATAAAATTATAACCATAGATAAAAAAAGCATTGTTAAGGTATTACCAGTGAAACAGTATGATGCAATATGTATATATTTACAGCTCTATATTTTTGTGGCAGACCATTGAAGATAATCTGCAAAAGCACAGGACAATTGAATTTTCAACACCAGGATCTGTTACAGAAAAGAATTTTGCACGTCTTTCCTTATTTGTAAGTTTTGATGGTCTTACTTGTACGTGGGCATGTAAATGTACACTTACCATCTCATGTGGGTTGATGTTTTTGTGGGATAAATGAACCACTGAAAATATGTTGGCTACCTGAGATAATATTGTTGTATAATGGGCCACAAAAAAAGTGAACAAAAAGTAAACATCACTTACTCATTTGAAATCAGTTTCTGTTTGTACATGTAATTTTTTATCCTTGTTTAATGGTAATTCAGTAATGTTTTCTTTTAAATTGTTTTTCTTTCCAAAAATAAAAACTGCAACACATTTTAACTTTATTCAGCAAGGTTTCTAAAGAAAATGTCACATTGAAACATCTTTAGAAATTTGTGAATTTTATTCAGATTTATTTATTGATGGATTTATTATTTTATTTTTTTTCAGTAATCTGCTTATATTTGGCTACCTTATTGCTGCTAGTCATACTGAAAGAAGATGTCATTCTCAGCAACCATCAAATCTGAACCCCCAGATAGAGGGTACGAAAGTGCAGAGGCGGCCATGACAGTGGTACCTGTAGACCAGGTAGGAGGAATTCCTCGCATCAAAACTGAACCAGAGACACTGCTGCCCTTTGCTGGCAGCCAAGCACCATGGCCAAGTCTAGAACAGTACCAGGCCAGGTATTTGACTGAAAATGTACCATTGTCAAAGTCAAAACAGACAAAGACCTATAGCAACACCACAACATTGACAACGAGGAAGAGAATATTAGAACCAGATTCCTCTGCAACAGCACTTGCCAAAAAGAAGAGTCATGAAGTGGATCCCCAGCAGTGCACCCCTAAAAACGTCCATAAACACACTGCACCTGCAAGCAAAACGGCGTTTAAGTGCTCATTTTGTGGTTTTGACTCTGCAGGCTGGGAAGAGGCCTACCTGCATGCAGCTGGGTGTGCTGCACGTAAAGAAAAGGAAGGAACAACTGGCCCATTTCCTTGCAAGACATGTGATTCGAAATTTAAAGAATGGGAAGAACTTGTTCAACACGCTTCCAACTGTATGTCTTCTAAGGCTTTCACTTGCATATTTTGTAGCAAGACAGTGATAGGGGCTGAGGAATTAAGAAAGCACACAGAAGTTTGCTCTAAGTCTCCTAATGTTTCACAACCTTCTACTTCCAAAGAGCCCACAATAAGAAGTCAATACACATGTCAGATTTGCAAGTTGACCTTCCGAAGAGAAGATCACCTGAAGGAACACACAAAACATTGTATTCCTTTGAAGTTAGCAAGGTCACAGTTTCCTTGCACTTACTGTAAACTGACATTTGGCAAAGAGGAGCACCTGAGACAACACACCAGGTTCTGCACCAAGGTGCGCAAACTTTTCCCCCTAGGGAGTTTTTCTGGCCAAAAAGCAAACTCAAGGAGAGGGCTGGCATGTTCTTATTGTAATTCTTCATTTGACACTTGGGATGCTATGTTAGAACACTCTCAAACTTGTGAAGTGAAACTATGTGCTGAAGAAGGTCGTAAACAAGCTGAAAAAGCTAAATCTGCAAAGAGAAAAAAAGCTGTTGACCCTATTGTCTTTCCATGTCACATTTGCCATGCCAAGTTTGACACCTGGAATGGAAAGTTAAAGCATATGCCTATATGTAAAAGTAAAAAGAAGGTGTTGTTTAAGTGTTCTTATTGTGGGACCTTCATAGAAAAAGAAGATGCTCTTAAGAAGCATGTTTTTAATTGCGCAGCTAAACATGGAGTGAAACTGTCAGTGCCATCACAGGCCTCTGAGGTTGAAACACAAAATGGGAAAGTAAATGATAGTATGAGAGAGACTGAAACACAGAAAAAGGGAAAGGCAGGAAGAAAAGATGAAAGTCCTGTGACAAATAAACGGGGTGAGAAGCTAACCTCAGGACCATCTAAAGAAAAAAATGATAAAAAGGCAACCTTAGATACACCACATGTAGCAAGGAAAAGTGCAGTTACAGCAAAGGCATCTCAACCAGATAGTAAGACAACTGCACCTACTGGAAACATTGCCACTAGCAAAGGACAAAGAAAAGATCCGGAAGTAGAGGTGGATGTGATTGTCAGGATGACTGGAAACTTCACAAAGAAGGAGGCGTTGTCTGGATTGAAGGCTCAAGAAATGCATTTAGAGACTAGCAGTTTGAAAACTCGTACCAGAAAAATTGAATATGTAGGATCTCCAGATAAGAAAGATCAGATTACACCCAGTTTAGAAAACGTGAATGCCACACCCTCCATTTCTAAATTGTCTTTAAAAAGAAAACAGGTCGACATAGAATCATCAAGCACTGAGGAGAGTTCAAAGAAGAGAAAAAAGACTTCAACTTCCACTAAGGAAAAAGAGTCGGATACCACAGGAAATGTTAACCAGATGCAGCCTGTAGTTTTAGTGCCTAAAATACCATTATCATATAAAGGTGTCCAAGAAGAGGACTCAGGCAATGAGGGCACTCCAGCAATTAAGAAAAAAGAAATCCAAATTCCAAAGGGAGGACAAAAGAAAGAAAATGACAGTGAGTGTGGAACGGAAAAATCTGTCACAAATCATGCTGAAAATGAAATCCCCCGACAAGGTAGGAGCACAAGTAAGAGGCGAACAGCCAAAGTATGCAGTCCACAGAGTTTGGCCTTAAAACAAAAAACTGACAAAAAGGGTTCCAGAAACAAGCCAAATTCCTGTAGGTCCACTGACTCTAAGGTGACTAATCCAGATACATCAACAAGAAGTGAAGATGAAAGGACAAATGATTTTCAAGTAGATCACCTCCAAGCTTTGGATCTTATGCCTACCAATTTGAGAAGAAGGCAAAGTAGAAAAAGTTTACTGAAGAACAAAGATGCAAGTGAGGAAGAATCAGATCTGGAGAAATCAGTAAATGAGACACCTGCCTCAAAGGCCAAAGAAGAAAGTCGGACATCTAAAAAGGAAGTCACTGATTCTATTGCTGGTCGTGTTCGTAACAAAACTAGTCAAAGAAAAAGAATAAACATACAAAATTCCAGCTTAAAAGTTTTTGAAAAAGATAAGGTAAAAAAGTCTCCAGTTTTTCATAAAAGGTCAGATACTCATCTCCAAACAGTTTATCATAAGATATTCCATGAAAAACATTATCGACATAAGCATTCCAGATCTAATCTACCAAGAAAGTCGTACCCAGTTAATTTTTCTCCACCTCTGAAAGGATCATTTGGTTGTCATTTTTGCAATGCAAGATTCAATGTTTGGGATGATGTTGAGAAACATGTCAGGCTCTGTAAAAGAGGACTGGAAAAAAGCATAAAAAACCAAACTGAACACAGGATCGGCAGAGGCCCCTCTGTAGGTCCTTCAGAATCTTTGAAACTTGGATGTAAATTCTGTGGGAAGAAATTTGATGAATGGAACAGTGTACAGGAACACGTGAAAACTTGTGTTGCCCGAGATCCAGGTAAAACTACATATGTTACCCACGTGAGAAAATTTCATAAATCTACGACAGTGCAAAGTTCTCCTCAGCCTGTCTTACAGAAAGTGGCTAAAGGGGGGCAATTACTATCTGGTAAGCAAAGTATGACAATGGGGACACCAGATGAGCAGCAGAGAGGCAGTGTGTCACACTCTGGCAATGAAGAACATGTGGCCATCAAACGAGAACCATTAGATGCTGCTGGCTACTATGGTGATATGGCCATGCAGTACCTTGAAAACTACAGCATCCTGGACTTCCCAGACTTACCACAGGAGCACAGCACACCAACCACATCTGTGGCACCTGATCAAACTGGGGAAGTAGTATTTCCAGGGTATACTATAACTGAGCTTGACCAGCCAGGTACCTCAACAAAAACTGAGGAAGCCAGTGGGCTTCACATTGAAGGTGAAAGACATATTAGTGAACAGGAATTTTCAAGCCTCTCAGCTGACTCTGAGGCAGAATCTGTTCAAAATACAAATACTGGGACCATTCAGAAAAACCAAGAAACTAATCAGGTAGATGCAGGTGTAAGTACCCAAGTTAAGGAAGAACCGAAAGATGCCATTGGCTCCTTTGAATGTGCATTCTGTCATTCTAGAATTCTTTGTGTCAGTTGGGATGATGTGAAGAAGCATACTACTGAGTGTATGCCTCAGAAGTAACTTTCTAACATTACAGCTCTTAAAATGTACAGATTTTATGTTTGTTCTTTTATCATTGTTTCTCGAACATTTCATTTGAAATAATTGGAATTTACTGTCACAGTGAGTAGAATATGTTAAAATGGGATCGGATCAGTCTGCAATTTTCAATATTGTGTTTGATGCAGTGTAGGGATACATTAAGTATGAATTACTTTTCTATAAGTATTAACACCACAAAGAGCTATTATCTAATTTTAACTTGTAATTAGTTGATGAACTGCTGAAGATCATATATTTGTGGTTAATTTTGTGTTTGTTTTACTATCTAGGTATAAGATTTATATGAGTAATCAATATCATCCGTCATGCCTAGCACAGCTAGATTTTTAGATTATAAATATTTAGTTATGCATTTCGCAATTGCATTACTTGTGTAGGTGGTTTAGATGACATGTTCCTGATGTTACAGGTAGCTGTACTTTGTGCTAATGTTATGACGACAGATTTGTTTCTTGTACATATATTGTATAGTTGTATTAACAAAATTCTTCTTGTTTCTTTTTCCTCTTTTTGTTCACATATTATTGATACAGTCAGTTGTTTTTTGACGCAGATTGAAAAGTTGGGAGATGACATGTTAAATCTTATTCTAAACAAATTCTCAATGGTAATAAATAAAATAAACTGACTGCTGTGTCCTATATCAGTTTCCAGAACCATAGAAAGAAATGATAATTCTGTGATTTGTGTTTGACAAGCCTGTAAATATTTAGTTGTTTCATTTGATGTGAAAGCCCTGTATCATATGTATAATTTTGTAAGCCTCTGTACTTGTAAGCCATAGCTGGAATGTAGAGTTCTCGAAGGTCAGACAAAATTGATCAAACGATTAAGAGGAGTGGCGACTCTGTAACCGGGATCAGTAAACAAAATTTGTTTTTTTTAAAACATGTTTAATGGGCATGACAGCCTTTAGGGTTTTATTTCCAAGGGTGATGTGTCAAACCCACAGTGTGAGCGATTTTAGGCATATAATAGCACTAAGGTTATTTTGTGGATCAATTGTACATTATCCCGCTTGACAAACCGATGCCAAGTGCTTTTTTTTTTTTTTTTTTTTTT